TGCAATTTTCACTTACAAGTTTATCGTTATAAAATAAGCGACCTTAACATCACATACTGTATTAAGTTTTTTTTTCCATCTTCATTTCTTGATTCTAATATTGATATTTCTGTTGTCATTGACAAAAAGCCAGTTTTACTGAATGTAGTGCAGGAAAAAGTGATTGATGGAATATATTTTACAATTTGTTATCTACCGGTAATGGTATTAGAACCCTGCAACAAATGCATGGTACAACCCAAAAGTGGGTTGCAGAAATTTGTTACCAACCCATGTGGTTTTTTTTTTTCAAGAGTACAACCTAACAAATGTATAATCAAAAGTCATTGACTTAGAGTGCAAGTGAAAATTTCATTGTGTTCAGTAAAATATAAAAATAACTTGAACGAAATAAGTAGTTGAAACTGAACCTCAATGACATTTGAAAACTGCATCTTGAACTTTATTTTATTTTATTTATTTCAACCATCTTTAAAGAGGGTAACCCTTCCAGTTTAGCCCAGTAGGTTAACTGATATTCAGGGGCCCTCTTTAATAAAATCAAAAAACAGTACAAACAACATCATTACAACATAATAATAATAATAATAACAATAATAATAATGATAATAATAATAATAATAACATACAATCCTCATAACAACTCTTAAAAATATTAATTTACTTACTGTAAAGAACCTCTTCAATTTGAAAGAAATGTATGAAATACAGTACACACAGAAAATGAGATCGATGATGAACATTGGCCGATATTTTAATGTCTTGTTTTATGCCTACAGTACGTGTGAGATCATGTATTTTGGTATATTAGCTTGTAGTTCTGTTTTCAACCTTGAGGTTGTGTCCTTGGGCAAGACACTTTACATAAGTTGTCGGCTTTCCACCTAGGAGTAAAAGTTAGTACTTGGTAGGTTCAAACACAAAATGCACATGATTACAGCTGCAACATTATGGAATTTTCTCAGGGAGCTTAGTATGTGTTTCATACAGTATGTGCTTAATGTCCAGTGACTGAGGGCGGATTGCTATAAAACGGTCTCAACTGGTGGTAGTCTTAACTCTTTGAAAAAGGCCGTCTTTATCACTTAGACGGTCTTCCTAAAGTCACTCTTCTAAGACCATTGCTATAAAAAGGTCTTCGCTTAGACCACGCTGCATGTTGTAATGCAACAAGCACTCTCTGATGATAACAAAATTGAGGGTTCTGTTGCATGTCACATGTGCTAGATATCCACAAATCCACATGTATTCATTTATTTATTCTTTCTTTATGCTGGATGACATGTTCAGTACTAAAGCATTGATTTCCAAAGTGGTTCAGTACTAACAAATAAGAAAAATTAAACAGTGAAAAAGTATATACAAGTTAAAAAAAAAATTAAATTAAATTAAAAAAAATAATAATAATATACATTATACTGTAGTTTAACATAACAATCAAAAATACATTTAAATGAGAAAATATATGAACAGTAAAGAAAATATTTGTTTTAGATTTTACAGACCTGATATTGAATTTTTAAATTTAGAAACTTTCATAGATTTAAAGTTCATTTTAATATCATCTGGGAGTTCCAGAACTTAGTACACCCTGTATACGAACTTTCTGTTACCTTGCATAATACTCCAAGACTGTTCTATAAGAGTATTTTTACTTTGACTTCTAGTACAATGTGAGTGCAGACAGCCATTAAATATAAAGTTCTGTTATAAGATAACATTGATCATAGTCATTTTAACACTAAAAAATCATAAGTACTAGTTGTTCCCATTTTTCACTGATTTTACTCCATTCTAATGCATTTAAAAATATCAGCAATTGGAGTTCTCAAAATAATAAGTGAGTAGATGCTTAGTGAAAAATCACGAATCATTATTTTTGTTGCTATGGGAGCATTTAATCCTATTTAATCCTTTTTTGATTGCTCTTTAATTGTTTCGGCACGCGCCAGAGCTAAAGTTTGTTTACATTTTAATTCTCCCGATTCTTTTTACAGTTATTTTCCAAAAACAAAACTGAAAAGCTCGATAAAATAATATTTTCAACGGAGGGCTAGCCTAGAATCCAGATTGTTAATTACTCGCGTCCGCTTGCATACCGATCATCATCATGGGGCCACTGCTTATTTGTTTGACAATGGTAGTAATTTTCTGTTTTTATAAACAATTATTTGAAAGTTTATTCATAGTATACCCACGCCCAAAAGGCACTCCTACTGCTATTTATTGGGAATTTGCAATGCCTTCTAATCATCAGGGCTGCCATTTCCAGGCCGTCTTGTTGTGGTTGTTCTTGTAAGAACAATCGCGCCTGGATACCTAGCAACGTTGTGACAACTGCCGTTAGTTGGTAAAAATTCACCATTTTGAAATGGCAGTCGAAAATATGTCAAGTATTATTATTAATTACTGTATTATAAATTATTTTCGGGAGTATCGGGAAATGGATCGCGCGTTTTTTTTTTAGAGAGAGAGAGAGGCTAGAGGGCCGAGTGAGGAGGTATAAAAGGGGATTATGGGATAGAAACTTGCATTTACATATTAACCCTAGGTTGTACATCCGAGGTTAATGGTTTTTCGAAAGCGGTGTTGTGTTGTGTTGTGCACGAACGGGTAGACCACCCGCGGATACTTTTACCGGTAAGAAACTAGTAAAGGTTTTCCGGTTCTCGCCCGAACGCACCCCAAGACTGTTCTATAAAAGAGTATTTTTACTTTGACTTCTAGTACAATGTGAGTGCAGACAGCCATTAAATATAAAGTTCTGTTATAAGATAACATTGATCATAGTCATTTTGACACTAAAAAATCATAAGTACTAGTTGTTCCCATTTTTCACTGATTTTACTCCATTCTAATGCATTTAAAAATATCAACAATTTGAGTTCTCAAAATAATAAGTGAGTAGATGCTTAGTGAAAAATCACTAATCATTATTTTTGTTGCTATATAATTTATCGTCGTCGTTAGATTCTTGATGATGAAAATTATGAAGCCTCCTCCAAGTACGCTTAAAAATTTAAGATGGCTATAGCTGATAAGACCACAATATGGCAATGATCTATAATCATAGACCAGCACAGATGTCATAATTATTATAGCCTGCAAAGCGTTAAGACTGTCTACAGGGGCGGATCCAGAGATTTTCTGACGGGGGGAGGGAGGGGGCAACACTGCTGTATCGCCACTAAACTCATGGGTGCACTCCCTTTTTTGCTCTTTCCTCTCTTTAACTCAAATTTGTCCCCCTCTTTTTTATTTTTCTGGTTGAATGACAGGGGGGCACGGGCCCTCATTGCCCCCTCCCCACCGCTGGATCCGTGCCTGCTTATAGCAATCCAGCCCCGGGGGTAATAATGTGAAGTGCTTTAGAGGCCTTGCTGGCATGAAGCACTATAAGTCATGTTATATTATATAGTAGTATATACCTATATAGTCATAAGCTCATCTAAAAATTAAGTATTAGGAATTACTGTACTTCAGATTGCAGGGATAGTGTGCACAAATACTGTATATCTTTGGTTTAGATGTAGAATAACAGTTAATATACTGCAAAAACAATGTTTTTTTTTCTCAAAAATTGCCAAGTTTTGCATTGAAAATATTGAAATTTCCATTAATGACAATTTAAAATGGCATCAGATAGTGCATGTAAAATCAAAAAGTCTAAGATTAAAGTTTGTAAAATCAAGGTTTCACCGACATTCTTTTTATTAATGTGTTACAAAATATATATACTTCATTTTAGAATAAATTTTGCTGTCTAAAAGTGCGTGTTTGATGGTATTTGTCAGAGGTGGGTCACGACTTGAATATAAAATTCATTAAAAATTCATGGGTCCCCAGTAAGGCACAGAAATATTGTTTTAAATTGTACCCATTCTTACTGATCTAGTGTGCCTATACACAGTTGCCCCCTCATTTTCAACCCTCATCTCGTTTTATCTGATGTTCATAGTGTTTTATGAAATGTTTGTGCCGCAATAAAGAAAGAATAAATCAGTCTATTTTAAGCGCCTGAAGAAGATTTTGATAAATACGAAACCATTACCTATAATTAAATATACATTCTTTAATACTTGCAATGTATTTCTATCGATCAGTGTTATTGCTTTCACGGAAATAGAAATTCCGGGAGACACTAATGAATATTGTCTGAAGAAGCTGTGAATTTTTTATCACCCTGAAAGCCAAAATCCTAGTGTCTATTCTGTAATCAATAATAAGAATAATACAGTTTTTCTTAAATTAATAACTTCATAAACAAATATTGATAAGAGTAAAGAGCATCCGAGTATAAGTAATTAATATACTTTGATTTAACTTATAATAATAAATTAATAATGATAATAGGATGTAAATTTAAAATCCACACAAGAATGACATACTTCAGAAATAGAATGGATGATTTGTTTAAAAACACAATTAAGGGACTAAATAAGGACATTTACATGACCGAGTAATAGGACCAAATATATAAATTTTACTATATTTTATTGTATAATTTTGGGTAGTTTATTCACTCACCGTAAGTCCAGCATTCACCTAGCTCAAAAACACCGCTGATGAACTATCCATTATAGATAATCATCTCTATTTTGTTAATACCAGTTTTTTTGTGTCAGATATTTCTTGTTTACTCACTTCAATCTTTTATTTATTTTTTTTTTATATATTTGTGTTCCACAAGACAACCTTTGATGATTGTACCTCGTCTTTCCGTTTTTTTTTTTCACATTTGATTATGAAACATACCATGTTTCTACATATTTCATTTTTAATATCAATTCAGCTGTTGTTTATTCAACCTTCAGTCTAATTAGAAAGCCTAAATTTTGAAAACAAGGGTAACAAGTGGATGTGGGGAGAAAAAACAGAATTGCTACAGTTGATGTCACATTTTTTAATGAGCAATTTATTTTTGAAATGTTTTTGAAATTTTCCCCCTATTTTGTCATAGTATCTATTTTCAATATTCTCTCTCTACTTGTTTATTGTAGGTTGCCGCTTCAGCCCTGTGTGTTCTGCTCGTGAAATCTGCCGTGAAGGTTAGTAAGTTTGTATTAAATGTGAAGACATTATAGTCACATAGTTTCATCTGATCTCGGAGGCAGATCCAGGATTTTGCATGAGAGGGGTGGGAGAGGCCTACTACCAACATTTCCTGGTGGCTTTTCAATACCCCATGGGTGTATGATCTCATGATGTGAGATATAGTTGATGAACAAATAAAAAAACTCCTGTTTATAGCCCCCCCCCCCTCTAAACCTACCAATTGATCTTAATGAAACGTCATAGGTGTCATACATTCTTGGAATCTGGCATATTGAGCATTCTTATAAAAAATGCATCTAATATGCTTTGTCAGCTGACCTCAGGAACACATTAATAATGCAGTTAGTAAAACACTGCAAACATCATGAATTTGCGAGGAGATGGAGATTAAGACAGCTGTTATCGACAGTGAATTTTAATAAATGAATTTTTCGATCTTTTTTTTACAAATGGCTTATAATTTCTTAATGTCTCAATTTCTGCCATTATTTCATGAAAACTGTTGGTAATTATTATTCGAATAACAAATTATTATTAATACAGAACGTTCTATGCTGTATCACTCACACTGATTGCAATACTCGACAAAAGAGTATTCACAAGCAGGGATCTTGAGTGGTGCGGCATGCATGCTGATTGGCCAGTCTATTATGCCCGTGGGTGGCTTGTTTCCTTATGTATTAACGATATATTGATGCGGTATCAACTCGCTTCATGATGAGTTTCTTGCTCGTCAACAAATTTATAATCACCTGAATTTATTCACCAAATTCTTTTTGGAAGCGTGATCATATAATTAAACTTTACTCAGAATCGAATATGTTTTTATAGCTAGCCGGATGCATTTCTTTTCTCATTAAATTGATAACAGATAGATAAATTGCTCTATTTGTGAGATATGTAACAGATAAACTATATATTACTATGTATCACAACGCTAAAATTTATCAATAGCAATAATGTGTGATGAACCATATTGTGTATGATGAGCATCATTGGAAAGCTGTCATTTTAAGCTCTGCCCAGGCTATCAATTTTTTTTGAGAAAAAAAACTGTTTTATGTACATATATAATCATGATGTGCCTATATATGGTCATGATGTGCCTATATATGGTCATGATGTGATTTCATAACCATATTCAGTCATGTTTACATGTTTTTGTCAAATAAAATTAGTTTGATAGTCTGAAAAGAGCTTAATGTGAATAATTGTTATCCTGAATATGTAAATGCAATCAATTCACTGAAGAGAGTCGGTAGAGAAAATATGGAGTAGGCTAAAGTCCTAATACAGTACTGCAAGTGCCTACAGATATTATTATTCAAAATATACCACGCTATTGAATAAATACATCTGATGGCAAACAAACAAAATGGGATTCTCGTCGCCATGGTGGATCCAATAGCAAGGCTACATTCACACATGTTTTCATGTCTAATTTGGCGTAGTAAAAACTGTTTGCTTGATTGCTGTATACATCGTGACGTGAGTATAACAAACAGTGATGGTGTCATGATTAGCTTGAGGCTGGAGGTGGGGAAGCCGTCCAAAAGTCTGCCGATTTGTGGCAGAGGTCAGCAGGGTCTAGAAGTAAAGCCCTGGTATCCAGGGGACTAATCACCATGGCTTCTAGTTGCCCAAGAAATTTTAGTCTGATTAGTTGTGGCCCTCTATCCCTTCCCCTTCCATTGGCCTCTATCCCTTCCTCCTTCCTATTGTCTCATTGGGTTCATCACTGGTACAAAATGGCAAATTTTATTGCATGTTGGATATGAATATAGTTTAAACAACACTTAAGTTGAGCAGTGTTTGTACAAAAACTACTCTGTAACATACAATATTAAAGAAATCATGTGGGGCAGTGACTCAAAAAAAAAATATTTTTAAGACCATAAAACATCGAATAGCAACCCAATGGGCTTTATCTCGAGAAGAAGCACATCTCAAATGAAGCCTCCTTCTTTAGTTTGCAAAATTACAGTAGCCTCGAAAAGTCAAGAAGCCCTCTTGAAAAGAAGCCCTCTCGAAAAGAAGCCCATGGGGTTTTTTTCAAGAAAGCATGAGCTTCCTTTTTGAGATAGTAAGCTTATAGTACAGTACATACACTACACTGTACACACACAAATTTCAAAGTAACAAAATAAACAATCAAAAACACGCTTGGTTTTTTTAGTTAGGTGATTTAATGCCGGTTAATAAACTCCATGATACAAACTGATGTTACAGTAGCCCTATTTATTGTTTTATAGTGGCAATTCCAAAAATTTACAGCATTTTGAAAAGAAATTTAAAAGTAACAAAGTAACAAAGAAATTTCAAAGTAACAAAATAAACAATTAAAAACAAGCTTGGTTTTTTAGTTAGGTGATTTAATGCCGGTTAATAAACTCCATGATACAAACTGATGTTACATTGGCCCTATTTATTGTTTTATAGTGGCAATTCCAAAAATTTACAGCATTTTGAAAAGAAATTTAAAAGTAACAAAGTAACAAAGAAATTTCAAAGTAACAAAATAAACAATTAAAAAGACGCTAGGTTTTTTAGTTAGGTGATTTAATGCCGGTTAATAAACTCCATGATACAAACTGATGTTACATTGGCCCTATTTATTGTTTTATAGTGACAATTCCAAAAATTTACAGCATTTTGAAAAGAAATTTCAAAGTAACAAAGTGACAAAGAAATTTCAAAGTAACAAAATAAACAATTAAAAACACGCTTGGTTTTTTTAGTTCGGTAATTTAATGCCGGTTAATAAACTCCATGATACAAACTGATGTTACATTGGCCTTATTTATTGTTTTATAGTGGCAATTCCAAAAATTTACAGCATTTTGAAAAGAAATTTAAAAGTAACAAAGTAACAAAGAAATTTAAAAGTAACAAAATAAACAATTAAAAACACGCTTGGTTTTTTAGTTAGGTGATTTAATTCCGGTTAATAAACTCCATGATACAAACTGATGTTACAGTAGCCCTATTTATTGTTTTATAGTGGCAATTCCAAAAATTTACAGCATTTTGAAAAGAAGCCCACATCCCCCCTCCCTTTACTGTACTTTGCAAAAGTAACCTAAAAAAGAAGCCCATCCAAAGGTTGCACAAAAAAGAAGCCCAGGGCATCTAATTGAGGTTTTATGATACTACGAGTAACCCCTCTTTTTGTTGTTAGGGACTGGTTTCCTTTGACGTTTAATTAGCAGAACTTGACATTTTTCTTGATTCTGTATGAGAAACCCCCTCTTAATTTGTAGTATAGGGGACATGTTTCATTAAACATCACTTGGCAAAACTTGACATTTTGCCTGACAGCAAATTATGTCACTTCGTACAATTAGCCTCAGAGAATACACCTGTATATAAGTGTCATCTGCATATTAACAAAGTTTTTGTATTCAATGTTTTTAATTTTTTGGTGTTTTTTTTCATTTTCTGCTTTGTTTTTTAGATAAACTATTTGGCACGTGTGCCCATAGGTCAGCTTCAATCTTTGCCTACGACCTAGATCCTGCCGGATATCTCCAACTAAAGAATGCAATAGAATTTTTACTATCCCGTGGTTACACTTGGGATAACGCTTTTGCTCAGGTATTTTGTAATACTTGCCTTTATTAAATCCAAATGACAATTACGGTATTAATGTGATGTTCCATGATTTGTTAATTAAGATAAAGTATGGGGTTGTTTCTTCATATTGTTATTCTTCATTATCATATTGAATTTTTCCTGTCCAAAATGGTAGGCAAGCGTTTTAAATCTTGTTTATTATTACAGAGATACGTTTTAAACCATTCTCTTTCTCAATAAAAAAAATTAACTGCAAATTTATTACAAACACTTGTCGGACAAAGAGGGAAAGCTACTGAAGGAGGTGTTATAAACTAGAATAATGTGAAATCACATAATATAACACTAATTAGTTGGAAACAATAACCTTTACTTAACATCCTTAAAACAATGTAATATAAACTATTGAAACAACTAATCTTCTTTGACTTAACTGGAATGATTTCATGTCCCTTTTGTAAATAATATTGTATTTAAATTAATAAATTATGAATATTATCATTATTATAAATATATGGCATTGATGTCATACGGTATTAAATATGCAAGGCCCAATATCAAAATTGTTTTTCATCTCAAAATTATAACACAAATTAGAGATTTCACACTTGATTGAAGTGTCATTGTGATGGTTCATATAAAACCCGATGGCCACTCTCATCACCTGCTTAGAGCAGCTCATTCAGGCTCTTGTCTAACATGTTTGAGTGTTTCTAGGGGATTGTCATATTATAATTCAAACGTGACTTGAATTTGCAATTTTTTTCAGATTTTAAACGGAATATTGTAATTATAGATAAAATTGATTATTTTTATAAAGGCAAGGCTTTTTTAACCTTGTTTTGCAAACTTATTTTGTTAAAGATCGTAAGAGGAGGGTGAAAAAAAAATTAAAATAAAATTTTATTAGGGAATGTAAACAGTGTAGTAATGGGATGGTTAAATGTTTTAAAGCCCCATTCCCACAAAATTTCACTAAAAAAGAATTTTTTTTAGAAAAAATGCATATGCATTACTCTAATTATTATAAATAATGGAAAAATATTGGCACAAATTTTAGTTTTATGCAAAAGAATAAAAAAATGAGAAATACAGACTATTTCTCATTTCATGTAGGAGATTACCATTTTCTTGACGAATTCTTTGTTACTAGGCAAATTCAGAGGTTGTATGTAGATCCCATCTGTTGGAATGCTTTTGCTTTTATGTATACTTTATACAGTCAATAAAGTGCGCCCTCTCTAATGAAATTTGTTTTTGTACTTCGCATCTCCCACATTGCAGTCGATCAAGTGGGCCTGAGATATGTTTAAGTGTCAAAATCTCGGTCAGAATAATTTTTTTAACAGATTTGAAATAATTCCTATGAAATATTATATTTTACAAGTGTCAATACTAGCAATGGAAAATATCATGACAGCCGTTTTCATGTGTGATAACAGAACCTAAATCGAGGTATGGCTAGGCCTAGCCTAGCAGTGTTGGATAGGCTTATGTTTTCGGCACTTACTACATTTCTTCGCAGACCTATCGCAAAATCAAACACAAAAAATTCATCCGCATTTATTTTATGTGTAGAACACAAAAAATCGAATTTTAGTCTTACTTTACATTTTTTTAATGTTTAATGTCTAAATTTAGTTAAAACTAGCAATTTCGTATTTTATTTATAAATCTTTATAACATATATAAAAATCAGATTTTTTTTAAAAACTGAAATTTTGCCGGGAGTGGGGCTTTAAATTTATATAATTAGAAAGTAAAATACATACCTTATTTTTGGAGATTTGAAAATATAGAAAACTTTTATTTTTTTGTGGCAATTGGTCAAAAATAAAATTTTATTTTATTCAAAATAATCATTATTTGTGAGCGGTGGGTTCCCTAAACATGGTATAAAAAAATTATCAAACTATACAGTAAAAATATAATTTTTCTTTCAATGTCCACTACTTGCATTATTTAATGTATGTAGTGTCTAATGACCTGGTGACTATAGTTATTTAATCTGAAGACTTTATGGTTACTGTAAGTAATCTGGTGGTTTATGGTCAATGGATCTGATGCTTATGTTCAATGAATCTGGTAGATTACAATATAGTCAAGCTGATTATTTAAGATCTTTATTCTATACAACATTTCTCTTATATCATTTTTGTTTTCTTGTTGCTAGATTATTATTTCGGTTTTTTCTGTAAAATAATTATATCAATTATCATTATCACTGTCTTTTCAGCACTCACTAAAGATTGTTTTGAAACCATATAGACGCGAATTAGAATTGTACAATGACAGAAAGCCATCACTTATACCAAATGATTCTGATTTTTCTTCGGCTGGTGTGAACGGCCTCTTAAACGACCTAGAATTATTAGAAAATGCAGAAGAATATGAGGAGAAATTACGGAAGAGTAAGATCGCGACACCCAATTCTCGTCATAAGGTACGCCAACAAAAGCCCACCAAGAGCTTTCTGCACCGACACGGATCAAAGACCAACAATAACAGGATGTCTGATGTTTTACAAGAGATGTACTATGAAAAGTATTTAGAGTATATGAAAGCCATGGAAGAAGAGTCGAAAGGGAGGAAAATAAACACGTACGATGAATTTCTAAGTAGCATGACTGAGCCAAGCGAAGACCAGCAATGGGAGATGGGTGGCAACGGTAGGGCTCAGGGCCATAGAGCTGAAACCTGGCAGTTTGATGACAATATTGGAGATGGCCAAGTGGTAGACATCAATTGGCTAGAAGACAATAATGGTGAGGGTGTAAAAAATGATGAGATGTTTGAAGGCGAATTTATTGGTGGTGATGACGAGGTCTTCAATAAAGAGTCTTCCAACAAAAACAACATTGAAACCCAGGATTATCTAAATGGTAATATGTCATTCCATAATTTTTCAATATGATTTGTCTTTGAACAAAATCCCTTTCCTAGCCCTATTCTTCTCCTTATCCCGTCAATTTAGTTTCCAACTCTTTTACCAACCCTTTGCAAGATTGATGTTTTGGTCCCATTATAGATTTATGATTAACATCTATTGATTGATAATCGAAAACAAGAAAGTGAAGAAATGAAAATAAAGCATTTTGTAAATTTGTTATATATTTTTAAACTCTGTAAAAATTATCAAATCTTTTGCTTTCTATTAGGATATTACTACACTAAATAAATATTTTAATGTTTGACCTTTTTATATTTCAAGATCTGTCATTGTTGGACATCGAGACGATAATGAAGGAGATGTACAGTTTGTTTGCCACGGTTGATCCTGATTCGTGGACACAGTTAACAGAAAAAGAGAAAAGTCTGTTGTTGGACCAGGCATTGCTTTTGCTACTAGAGAAGTATCCATCACTCACAACAAAACCTGCTGAAAATGTGGAAATATGGAAGGATTCTGAGGAAGTTACTGAAACAGCGAATGGTATCACAGAGAAGATGGTGATGGAAGAACAGGAGAGAGGGGAACATGCAACAGGCGAATGGGAGGAAGGAGGGCAGGAGAATATAATAGGTAACGAATGGCGTACCCCCAAAATAGAAAACCAGCCTGAAGTCAATTTGGATTTAGAAGAACCATTTCCAAAGCCTACAGGTAAAGCAAGCATAAACTATGTAACATTAATATTGCAATTTAAGTTAAAAATGCTTTGTTAATTATACAATATTGCATTAAAAAAATATAATTAAAGAAACAGGTGACAATATAAAAAAAAAAACAAAGCCGCTGATTGAAAAATGTAATGATAAGTAATTATATAAAATATGAAACGATATACACAAAAACATAAAAGAATTTTTTTTAACATGCAAAATATAAGGTAAATAGGTAAAGCAAGCATAAACTATGTTACATTACTATTGCAATTTAAGTTAAACATGTTTTGTTAATTATCAAATATTGCATAAAATATATTAAAGAAACAGGTGACAATATGAATCACAAATTGAAAAAATGTAATGATAAATAATTATATAAAATATGAAATGATATATACAAATACATGATAGAAATTTTTTTCAAACATGTAAAAAATAAGAAATAAATAATAGATATTTATAATAATAATAAATAATATCGAAATCAAATAATTATATAATGTACACATGTAGAAAATCACTATCTATAAGACTAAAAATATTATTGAAATATAAATGCTGGCTTGAAAAATGATGAAATCATAACAGATGCTATACAAGAATAAATTACATTGAATATAACATTAGTGCACATTAGGCCTAGACTTTGAGATTTGAATTCAGTAAAATGAGTATCCGCAAAATGTAATTAAATGTAAAATATATGACCCTTTGTTGGTTGTTGTTGCTGATGATTCCTGAATCCAATTACTAGAATGCAAACTCAGCTTTGATTAAGTTTCTGAGTGTGATGTAAATACTTGTGATTCTCCTAATATTGTTGCCTGGGTGACGATTACTGTGAAAGTAGTACTTATGCATTGTTCCGGCTACAAATGGATAATGGAGGAACGTGGGATGTTATCTGAAGCTTGGTTATGACAGCCTCTTGATGAATAATGCATTGTAGTTCGCTCTTTACTTGGTAACCGTAAGCATATATTAATATAGGTGGAAAGCAATCTTAGTGTCCAGTATCACATAACATCTAATTTTATGAATAGTAATGCTCTATCATTAATTATTATCATTAACATCATCATTCGTTATCATCATTCATCATCATTCTCATTGACATCACAATGTATCATAATCATTTTTCATCATCATTCGTCATCGTCAATCATTATCATCATCCCTATGATTGCCATCATTCATCATCATTATCTTGTCATCATCATTATTGTCATCATCATCATCATTATCATCATCCATCATAGTCATTATCATTTTTATGATAATCATCTTTATCCTCTTCTTTGTAATCATCATCATATTGGATCAATTTTGAACCCATGCTTTCATTTTAAAATTGTTTTATATCAAAGCAAACTCATAAACTTGATATTCAGTATTATCAACATCTTCCTCAACCACCTTCTACTCCTCATCATATCGTATTTTTCATCACTGTTTTTCCTGTCATTGTCGACGTCATTACCATCTCCCGTCATTGTTCTTTATTGCTACAGTAACTGTAAATTTTATGCAATATGACTTAAAGACGTCAATACATTATATTATAATATTGTATAATAGTAATACCACATAAATTACATTGCATTCATACACATTGTGTTACCGGACACCAATACAAACACCCACACACCCAGAAAAAAACACCCACACACCCAGAAACAAACACCCATGTAAAATGACAGTATTTTATACCAAACCATTCCACACTTACCCACCATGCTCTCTTCTCTCATACAACCTCTCAAAGGTAATGGGGGAAAATTGCATGATGGGATGGAGGTAGATTTAGGCCCAAAGTTCTGTCAGAATCCCAAAACTAATTTTTACATCCTGCAACTTTTCTATCCACTTGATAAGGCATAAAGCTTTGTGTTAAAAATATAATAAAATATCGTTTAAACAAAAGTGCATCAAGTTGGCAGGTTTCTACTACTGATTATCAAATTGTTTTAGCTTCTGTAAAATGTAACAAAACCTTCCTCATCATTTTGGTGATAATCTAATCAATCTTTTCAGGGAGGATTGGATAGCTGCATGATTATGCTCTTACTCTGATGAGTTGTATATAGGATGAGTATCTTAGAATCGACTCTTGATTATAGCCTCACTGTGTAATCTTGAAATCTTTAAAAAGCCGCATCAAAATTCAGTGTTAAAATTGTACAGATTTGAAGTTCTCATTCTGCCTCAATTTCACCTGTTTCAAAATGTGAAGAACTTATTGATACCGTAAATGAGGTCAGGTCAGAGGAGAATTGAAATCCTCAGCGTCAATGCAAATCAATATCTGTACTTCCTTTCCACTACAGAATAATAACAATCACGTCAGCAAAGAACAAATGAACATAGCCAAACGTATCGCTAGCGAAGATTTACTCACCTACATAGGTAGAGACACCCACTCAATGACCGCATACACCTCTCACCATTTTATCACCTAGTACTTATATCAAAACAATAAATCACTGACAGTTTTTAAACCTTTATCTTTTAAATTTATGTTTACATTGGATTGCTTATAAATAACTTAATTGACCATTTACTGCAATGTAGGGGGTTTCGTAGATCCCCGTTAGGGACCTACGACCGCACGTCGTAGAATCTCTATTGTGTATACGTAAAAGTAATTGAATACCCTATACATTGCTGAGTCGTTGTGATGAACTTCTGAAAGGTTTATAGCCCTACATTATCAAAATTAAAACTCATTTGAATTAGTTGTAATACAAAAATATGTCCAGGAACAGGAAATTAAAATATATTATCATAAGGTGTGTTTCTACTGAAAATCTAGATAGAAACAGTACTCTTATGATTCACTGGTAATCTGATTGCCAACGAATAAAAACTGCACCACAATGGTACTTGGTCAGCTGGATACAGAATTGATTCCATGCAAGTGAACAGTTCTTAGGCACAATAACAGAATCCGTTCTTAAGACTTTCGTTTTCACTGCCACAGAAAATTTTTCTTGGATGGATGGATTTATTTGGTGGAAACACCAAAGATAACCCACAAAAGTCTAAAGAAGACTTATTTCCAGTTGGGACCTTCTGGTGGTGATTGGGCAGTACACTGGGAGACAATCCTCTACTCTTTTCCAAAGATTGTACTGCATTCTTTAAAGTGCACATGAGCCAAAATGCACACAGGACCAACATCTTAAAAGTCTCATCCGTAAGATGGTGCCAATATGGCAGCAACACTTAAGCATATGGACCCAATGACCAGGGACAACAAATTTGCTTTGTAACATAATGGAATAAGCACTATATAAATACTAAAATAACAAATAATGCAACTTTAGAGACATATATAAGTTATTGGATTCTTGATTTTTTATTTTTATATAAAATTGTTTTTCCCCCTTTGTATTGCATAAATTTCATTCCTCAATTCTAAATCTATTTAACATAGGGGACTCAATGACCAGGTACAAAACGGAATAAGCGCTATCTAAATACTAAAATAACAAATAATGAAACTTTATAGACATATATAAGTTATTGGATTCTTGATTTTTTATTTTTCATATAAAATTGTTTTTCCCCCTTTGTATTGCATAAATTTCATTCCTCAATTCTAAATCTATTTAACATAGGGGACTCAATGACCAGGGACAACAAAGTGCTTTGTAACATAACGGAATAAGTGCTATCTAAATACTAAAATAACAAATAATGCAACTTTATAGACATATATAAGTTATTGGATTCTTGATTTTTTATTTTTCATATAAAATTGCTTTTTCCCCCTTTGTATTGCATAAATTTCATTCCTCAATTCTAAATCTATTTAACATAGGGGACTCAATGACCAGGGACAACAAAGTGCTTTGTAACATAACGGAATAAGTGCTATCTAAATACTAAAATAACAAATAATGCAACTTTAGAGACATTTATAAGTTATTGGATTCTTGATTTTTAATTTTTTATATAAAATTTGTTTTTTCCCCTTTGTATTGCATATATTTTATTCCTCAATTCTAGATCTATTTTACATATGTAAGTGGTTTTTTTTTTTTCAATCAATGAAACAGGAATATCACTTTACTAGTTAAAGATTTTTCCACTCATTAATGTTCATAATTAACTATACTTTGGGGTCCTATTTGTCAAAGTATGGAATCTTGTATCAAATCAGGATGTAATGTAATTCATTCATTATTCAACAATCATTTTAGTAATGAAAGAATCAAATGCTCCAAAACTTTGTTCCCACATGAATATTCTTCCCACATGTATATAATTAATTATGTTTTTTTTCCCACTCATTAATGTTCATAATTAACTATACTTTGGGGTCCTGTTTGTCAAAGTATGGTATCTTCTATCAAATCAGAATGTAATGTGTTTATTAATTATTCAATAATCATTTTAGTTTGACATTAATGATGCCATATCTGTAAATAGTGCTTTCTCTAAAAGTTATGTCTTTATTTTAAGGGGTAAAGTGTAATTAATTTTCTCAAATGTGTTTTTGTACTTTAGATTAAACTTTATCATTTGATGAAAAATGCTTCATGTTTATTGAAGATCTTTACTTGGAGTTTAATCAGTCAGTCAATCAATCAATCCACCATCAGTCTATCAACCAAATAATGTATGAGTTAATAAATCTAAATCAGTCAATCATGAGATTTCATTGCTTCACTTACATGATATTGTTAACTGTATGTGCCATTGCTTCTTCCTCTTTATAATTTGCTGATTGTTTCCCTTGCTAGTCCTCCATGCACAGTACCACACTTCTCTGGCAGGTCTTCAAAAATTCTCATATCAGTGTCAGTTGCTTCCCTGGCATGTCTTTGATGTGCCATTGCACTTTTAGTCTGCTGATTGTTCCTTTGAAAGTCCTTGATGTACCTTGCTTCTCTGGCAAGTCTTCAATAATCCTCATATCTGTGTCAGTTGGTTCCCTGACATGCCTTTGATGTGCCATTGCTTCCTCTTTATAATTTGGTCATTGTTCCC